TTCTATTTTGTTTTAAAAATACAGAATAAAGCTTTTTAAAAATGCAAAATAAAGCCTTTTGAATCGTTTTCAAAATTCATATTTGTTCATTTTTGCTATCTTAATAATATTGATTATTTAAAACTAAAAATTTACTTTGTATGTTTTACTTTAAATGTATTTAAACAGAACAAGTGTAAATTGTCTTCATTTCAATATCTGCTGAGGTAGTGACTCAGCAACTGTTGGAATTTAAACAAAATGATCTCTGTAAATAATCAGTGAATTACTCTTGTAGCTGACACGGAAATTCACTGAGCATTTATCTCGGCATAGTAGCACTATTTGAGTGTTTTCTTATTGTTTACCTCAGACACAATTTCATTGCATTATTCTGATTTGAGGTAATCAGAACATTGCAGTGAAATTGGCTGAGAAATGACATTGTCTGTGATACTTTACAATTACTTGTCAGTTTACCTTAAACGAGTGATATCAGTCTTTTGACAAAATAAACTAACACTTCAATAGATATTCACCAATCTTATCCCTGTCTAGCACAAAACCTGCAATAAGTTAACATTTATATTAAAGATAAAACTTGATCTAGTTTACATTTTTGTTACTTGGAATTTGTTCATTGATAAATAATAAAACAGGCTAGATCTTAGGTGACTGAAAATGAACACTGAACTCTTCATTGCTAATGTAATCATTTCAATCTATTCAGTGTACTGGATTTATAAATATTCTTGTATAGGAAAATGCTATATAAATTTTTAGATATCAAAAATTCAACACAAAAGGCTTGGAAAATATTTTCAAATAGAAATTAGACCTTTCTGACAAACCCAACGAATGAAAATATATTGTTCTACTCACCAATTCTAACTACAATTGAAAAGAATTTATACAAGCTTAACATAAAATTTGTTACAGCTACTTCAAAAACAATAAAAGTCTTAATACAAAACAAAATATTAATAAGTTAAAACTGTAAAGAGGAATTTACTCTATCACCTGTAATAATTGCAACAAGAAATACATAGAAGCCTTAAGGAATTTAAATAAAAATTATATGAATGCAAAAGTGATCTTTTACAAAACAACACACTCAATTCATTAGTTACTCACCATAGTCGCTTGACTATAATTTTTATTTAAAATTACTACTCTAATTAAGAGTAATTTATTAAGACAAAAATGTTTAGAAAGTGCTTTAATTGCTAGATCAGCCACCATAGATTTGGGATATTTAATAACAAAAATGATAAAAACAAAAAGAAACTAGATGAAATCAGCTAGATTATATATACCTTAAATATATATTTAAAAAAAAAAAATTAATTTAAATTTAAAATCCTCAGTGTCCCCTTTCTTTTCTGTGCATGTGTAGTTGCATCAATGTAAACATCATTTTAGTCTAATGAAGTCCTAAAGATTGAAAAACATCACACAAAAACTTTCAAGTTTGTCAAATTTTCCCAAATATTCTTGTAATTTGGCTCATTTAAACTATTCTGAGGACTTTGTTTAAAAATATATACAACAGCATTGGCAATCCATTAATATATTAAAATTCATATTCCTTCCAAGTTTGTTTTGTATGAAATCAAGGGCCAGAGGAGAGGGTTTCACCAATGTAATCAATGGCTACATGTCCATGACCAAGTTGGAGGATGTTGACTGTAGTTTGACCTGAAGAGGGATGAGCTCTACCAGATCTACTTGCCCAAGACACATTGTGCTGAATGAAACTCTGGCTTTCAATCCAGATATGTGAAGGGAACTAATCAGGTGCAATCCTACGACCACACCCAGTTATGGGAACTATGATGATGATGGTGCTTTTCCTGATCACACAGTACAACTTCTTATGCCTGCTGTATACTCTACATAAATAAAAAATTCCATTTTCTCTGGTTATAAATGAAAAATATTTTGTCTTCTTTATTTTGGGTCAGATGTGCAGGTAGTGTAGTTGATAGTGTCTTGGAATAAGAAAGCTGAATTCAAATTCCTGCTGTGTTTGTTATTCACTTATACATGAATACCCTTAGGAAAGGTATGAATCCATCTCTTCCCCAAGCTATGGGTTAAATAGTAAGACTTGTATCTGATAAAAACACTACTCACTACTGTATATACTCGTGTATCATGTGACCTTTGAAGACCTAATTTTGAAGCTTATTTGACTACAATAAATGTATATATAGTTTGGTTAACAATGTAGGCAGGATCAGTAGTACATATGGTAATTTTATATCTCGTATGATGTGACCCCCTTAAAATTAGCTTCAAAATTAGGTCTTCAAAACTTGCATGATATGCAAGTATATACAATATTTTTTTCTTAAATTGTTAATTTTTTTGTTCATTCGCAAAAAACAAATATTCTTACAATCCAAAATATGTTTAAATAATCCACAAAGTGTTGACAAGCTGTAAGAAATAAATATATCATTAGAGATTACAAGGCTGAAACAAAAAGCTTCTATTTCAGTTCTTGAACCACCAGATCGATTTATTTTTATAGCAGCAACACTTAATATTGTTAGAGTAATTATCAATTGTTGACATTATGTTACTTTACATTTGGTGAAGGTTTTCAACAAGTTTCCTTACTTTTCTACAGGTCATTACAATAAATCTCTAAATCTATGATCTTTTAGAGAATTTATAATTACTCTAATCATATGTGTGTTATATGCACTGATGTAAAATGCATATATTGTAACTTTGGGCTATGAAATTATGGAAAAAGCATCTTTCATATATAATATGCACTGACATTTTAGAATCAGTTACAACTAAATTTAACCTAAATTTATAGCTTGTTCAACTTTTTTTTTTAATCCTTTTTGTATCAACTAAAAATAAGAATTTATATAGTTTGTATTCTGTTTTGAAACAAAGTATTTAGGACAAATGCATAGGCATGTTTATACAAAAATGCAACAAGCTTACAACAAAAATAAGTTGACACTAGGATATTGGAAGTCTGGCAGAGTAATACCTGAAAACCATTGTCATGAAGTCATTCAAAAAATGCTGCATAACAAATGCACTGAACTGGAATGAAGATGGTGTCCTTTTTGAAGAAGTCAAGATGACTCTATGGATGATGATGACATTAAAATGACAAAGATATCTTCTATATTGACAACAGAAATGAAACCATAAAGATATTGACCTTTGACACAAACAGGAATGAAGTATACTAAAATGTGCTTAATATCTGTGTAAATAGTGTTTTTTTTTTTTTGTTTTTTTTAAACTAATGTAGTTATTAGTTATTTAAACTCTTTGTTACACATTAGCTTGTTTGGACCATATATATAACTTACTTTTGGTCATAACATCCCAAATATGCTGAAACCTGTGGGTGGAGGGGAAAAACAATATTTAGTCCTCATGTATAATATTGGTTATTTAGGTAAAGTCTTGTGAATTTTATTTTATTACACTTATTTCTTTTTCCAATGATTTTTTTTTAATATAGATCATTTTAATTTTACTTATTGGCTCCTTTAAGAAGCTTCTTGAATATAAAAAAAAAATTTTCTGATATCAAAAAATCAGAACATCATACTTGGCTACTACCACTATAGAATGTTGATTAGAACGTCGGGTTGACCAATTGCAGATTGTATTGCTTCTTGAGTGTTGTGGTCACCAATGTTGAATGGGTTAAATAGATAATGTGGCTGCGTTTTGAGAAGGTAATAAACATTCATACATAATATTTAAAACATCAAGGAAAAAACAATGAGAACCAATTTTGTTTAACGAAGAAATATATGTATATTAAATTCAACAATAATACAAAGTAGTTGTAATATGAGTGAAAAAGGAGAAAAAGTAGCTTCCCCTTGACTGTAAGGAAATGTCTTAAAGAAGATTTGTCTGAGTAAAATGTTCAGAGTTCAGTGTTGAAAATAGAATATTTCTTTCAGAAAATTGTTCAGTTGTTGCAACTTACAGAGTTGATTTAACTTGGTGTGTCCACTGAGAACTGGTGGTATATCAAATAATGTTCTGTACTGTGTGTAATGCGTGGAGTGAGTAGGATGAAATACACGAGCGGTAGATGAGATCTATTGTATCTGGGTACACTTTTCGACTGTGGTTCTGGAACTACTACTACTGGTTTTTTGGAATGCATCCAATATTTATACTACCTAGGGTGGCTCCCAGCAGAGACGCTGGATATATTTTTGAATATACATGAAAAATATCTGATTGGACGGAAAATGGACCAATCAGCGATTTTGTAGCAAAGCTTGTTTTTGAACAAAATGTAGGAACAAATTTACTATGGTGGAATGCGATAGATAAATTGTCCTGTTATTTTTTAGTATGTATTTATTGACCAATTAGAATTGGAGAAAATGTAGGCATGGCACTACACCACAATACATCGCTGCCATGTTTCCTATGATCATTGGATGGCATATCCAAGTGTGTGTTTATCTTGACATGAAAAAAATAAACCCCCCACCCCACACTCTGACTTAATTTTTCGATTCTATTTTAGCATAGATCTGATTTTTAATTGATTAATCTAGGCGTACGCACAAGTATATTTTTAATTCTTTATGTCCCCCCCTCCCAGGACTAACCTCTCAAAAGGGATAATGTTTTGTTTTTAAATTTCCCTAATAAGTTTTATCACAAGTTATTTATCATTGCCTGAGGAAGTACAATGATAGTATTGATACACGAAAGCTTTTGTGTAGTGATGTAAAATGCTTTTATTATAATCTATTATAATGAAATGTAAAATATATAACATTAATTTTCAAGAATGATCTGAATAAGTATGGAAATATTAATAAACATTAATTCACAGAACCTCCAATTCACAGAAACAATTTTTTTATTTTTCATATTTCTTTTTATCTTTTTTTGACATTCAATATTTTCACTTTTCTGCTGAGAAAGAATATATTAATTTTTATCAGTTATGAATATTTATAAAACTTTGTTTTGTAAATATTTAATTATGACTTTTTTTTCAGTCAACAATGGCTCCTAGACAGACAGGACATTCTTAGGGAACGGCAAGCTGATTTAAAAGTACTTACCGAAGATGAATATCAGAAAATTATGGTTTTTTATTCAAATTGTAAGTTTATAAGATTTTTATTCTTAATCATCTTTGATAAACACTTTAATAATGGCAAAAATGTATATAAATTTTCATATTTTTTCATTTAAAGCTGAAATATAAAAATACTTTTTAATACTAATTTAATACTTTTTAATGTTAACAGTAAATTTTACAAAATGACTTTAAAATTTTTTTTTTTTTTTTCAGTTATTTCAAATGAACTAACATTTTGAATGCTTCTCTATAGGAATTTTCTCTTGTTACATTCACTCATGTAACAATTTTTCTCTTCTCTGCAATTGACTCTTCATGGATGGTCAGCTTCACCAGCCATGCATTATCTTCATTAAGTCAGATTAAACAAAAATAGAGTATTAGTGCTGTTGTGATGTTTTCTAGTCTGTGACTTAGAAATTCTACCACTGTACCGAGTGATGACTCACTTATTAATAGTCACTTGACTCTATGCAAAATAGAGCAAGTCCATTTTTCCTATGTCACTACACCTTCTGGAACCTAAGAGGTTTTATGCCCTTCATTGACCTGTGATCCGAACAATAGTACAACATATCATCTCTCTCTCTCTCGTCTGTACCTAGTTCCTTTTATTTGGGATCTAGGTCTGGACTTGTCTTCATTCAGATCTTCCAACTCCATGTCAGATTTGTGTGAACTATTCTCCATAGTTTCTTTACAACTATGTTTGCTTTCTCTATCAGAAGCACTCATGCTTTTCTCCCTTTCAGGTTCCTCCTTCTCTCAATTTCTTTGTCATCAATTCTAGGTCTTATCTGATCATAATGAGCCAATAAATAATTTCCACTTGTTACTATTATAGCCATATTATGTCCCTTTTGTTCAATAAAGTTAGCTTTTTCAGGACTTGATTCTCTGTCTTTTTGTACCAAATTTTCTCATTTATTGAATAGGACATTGTTATAGGCAATCTAATTTGTCTTTCCATCAATACAGAGGGACTTCGCATTCTACCAACATGTGGAATAGTTCTATAGCTCAGTTCTTGGTAGGTAACTATCTATAGTGTCTCTGGGTGGGGAAAATGCCTTCATTCCCATTTTCACTATCTACCCCATTCTTTCTGCAATTCCATTTGATTGTGGGTGGTGGTGTTTTATAAAGGAAGCATCCAATTTGTTTTAATCATAAAGTTTCATCACAAAATTCTGGTGTATTGTCAGAGACTAATGTTTTTGCCCTTCCCCCATTTCTGGAAAATATTACTCATAATATTTGCTTTACCATGGCTGCTTTCCTATCATGAACTCTAACCACTTCAGGCCATCCAGAGAATGAGTTGACCAAAATCAGAAATAGTCTTTAACATGCACATGGCTCTTTTTCTTTAAGCCATGAATGTATCTTGGTTTGGCAAAATTTTTTTTTATTTCCCTACATTTTGAGCATTTTTGTACATGCTTTTCTATATCACGTGAACACCCAGACTGCCATGCTTCTAATTTTAACCTTTTCTGCATTGCTGTTATTTCACAGTGAACATCGTGTATACTTTTTATTACGTCTTTTCTTAATCTCTCTGGTGATATTAAAACATCTTCATTATTTCTAGGGTCTCTCTGCCCCAGAACAATCACACCATTTGTTTCTTTTTATTCTGCATGCAATCTTGCTTAATACTGGCTCTTGTAAGGTTTCAAATGCATGACGATCTAAGGGTAATACATCTGTTTCAATCCAGTGCAATATTTTATCTTCCAAATTGTCTAATTTTTCTAATAAAAACAATCCATTTTTTTGTTTTATCTCTTCTCTATTGGTACCACTGATACATATATCATTTTGATAGCTGATCATATTCTTAACATTACCAGTCAGTATATTTTCAATGGCTCTTTGAAAAAATAGCACTTGCTGTTTTTAAACCATAAGGCATACGTTTTCATTTGAGTAAATGGGTTAATTGTACAACATCTACATATGTTTTATGGCACAGCTTAAACATTCCTGAGGTTAAAAATAAACTCTAATTTATGGTCAGATTTAAGCAGAAACTTCCTTCCTAATAAAAATTGGTGAGCTCTGTGTTCCATATGATAGCTAATGCTTTTTTTTTTTTTTTTTTTTTTTTTTTTAATATTTGAATAGTAAGTCTTGGCTGATGTTAACCTTCCAAAAAGGTACATTATAGAATGACCTTCTGGAGACAAAATCACTGATACGGCACACTCACTTGCATGCATAGTTAAAGTCACTTCCTTTTAGGGTCAAATATTTTTATAACAGGTTGTGTTGTTTTTTTAGAAGTTCTTTAAATTTTCAAATTCTTTATTCTGCCATTGTCCATTTAAATTCATTGTTCTTTTTTCGTAACTGCACAAATGGTTCTATCAATTCACTATACTTTAGCAAATATCTGCTGTAAAAATTGGCTAACCCTAAAAAAAGATTCCAGTTCTTTTTTTATTTTTAGGTATAGATACTTCTGCTATTTTCTTTATGAAATTTGCATCTGGTGAAATTCTGTTTTTGAAAATCTAGTATCCTAGATATGTTATTGTGTCGCAATTTAACACGCCTTTATCCTTGTTTATGGTCATTCCAGCATTTTTGAATTTGTTTATAACATATGTTTTTTTTAACTCTTTTTCTACTGGTAGCACCAATACATATATCATTTTGATAGCTGATCATATTCTTAGCATCACCAGTTAGTATATTTTCAATGGCTCTTTGAAAAATGGCACTTGATGTTTTTACACTATAAGGCCTACGTTTCCATCTGAGTAAGCATCTCGAAGAGTTAATTGTTGTGACCTAAATTTTGCATCAATTTGTATTTGGTTATAGACAGATTTGAGGTCAATTTTTGCAAAGTATTTCATTCCATACAACTTGTGAATAGCAGTTTCAATGTTTGGAATTGGGAACAAATCTGGGCATATTTTGTGGTTTACTCCTATTTTGTAATCCCCACATATCCTTAAATCTCCATCCAGTTTTTGTAAAACAACAATGGTGAGACCCAATTACTATCACCAGGAGGAACATGCTTTAAAATTGCTCCACCATTGTTTTTAGTTTAGCAACTACTAAAGGTAGTATGTAAATGGACAGCTTACGAAACTCAAAATAAGAGGATGACTATTTTCTTTTAATGAATGCTCACTTTGTATCCTTTTAACATCTCCATGTAATTACTTTCCAACTTTGCACTGTTAATTAATTTGGTTGTCTTTACTCTCAAGACGTATTCCCATGAGTCCATTACTTTTTCCACATTTCACTACTGTGATGAGAATAATTTTGAAGTGTGTGTCAGTTTCAAAATTTCCTTCAAAACAACCTAATGTTTTGATGAAAGAGTCATCAGACTGTCTTAGTTTAAGTCAACTTTTCTTTAATTTGGGTTTGCTCATTCATTCTCAGAAATTTATTGGGATTAGGGTGACATCACTCCCAAACTCTACTTAGTTTAATTTTTTTTCTTCGGTACTTTTCTCTTTGTCTTTATATTGCAAATACAGCTATATTTTCTGGGGTAAATTTTCTACTCTTTCTATTTTTCTTTTATGCTTGTGCACAGATTGGAAATGGTTTTTCTTTTCATAATTGCAACATACTTGTCCTAAAGCCAGATATTTTTTCTTGTCCCATTCATGCTTTTTATCACAGTATTTCCATTGTACAAGGTAATTCAATATGCTCTATACATCAGCATTATTCATGGTTGTATTGAATTTTTCAGTCAACTCTAATATTGCAGAAACTCTATAGATGTATCCAAGGACATTCTAGTCAGTTGTAACTGTTCTAAAATGTTGTATTTGTACTAAGTATTCCACATACTTTCAATTAATATCAACGGTATCAACTCATCTTCGATAGTCATTTCTCCAGTGCCAAGTTTTTTCACACTCTTGGAATCTGGAAGCCTCTTGAAACTTGTGTACTTACTGTATGATTGTTTCATTCAGCTCTTGTTTGCTTACTAGAAACTTTGTTCTCTCAGCAATAACCAACTTCTTTTTCAGTTGCAATTTTTCCGAATAAGAGGAAAAAATGTCTAAATTCTCAATAAAAAAAAAAACTTGACTTTTTAAACCCTAAAAAAAATAAAATAATTATAAGATTCTATTGAACTTTTCAGAAGTTATTGGGTAATAAATAAAATTATTATTTTTTAAAGTGTTTCTTTTTGTATTAATATTTTTAGTTCTGTCATTGAATTAAAATATACGCATGTAAACATACACACAAAATTTAAATGATATTGAAATAAATATTTGTCTTGGGGGCTAACTTCAGTGGAAACAAGAATTCTTTGAAAACATTTTTACAAATCCTTCTGTAATTAAACTTAATATATTTTCTAATAATTGTATAAATTCCATAATTTAAAATTGATAAACAATTTAGATTTGAAATTTGGTCATCTTACCTTCAGGTAAGTTAACAATAACAATTCTTCATCTAAGACATTTTTAGATTATTACAATTATTGAAGTAGTACTTTAAGATACTGAATTCCATACAAGGGTGTCATCCAACAATTAGATGAATTTTGATCTGAAATTTTCACAGTATAATATTAAATCTATATGATAAATTGAGAATGGAAAAGGATTGGGTTCTGTACATTAGAAAAGGAGATTATATTGAAAAATAAATACTTGTGGCACAAAATAAATGCTTTTTTCAAAGTAGATTGTAGATTTACTTACATGTACAGTAATTAGAAACTCATCACTATAGATATTTACATTTCAGTAACTGTTCAAGTAGAAATTAATTTCAATAAGAGGATATTGTAGACCAAAAATATAAACTTTTGTCTATTAGTAGGAATAGTTCAATTTGTCATCAACTTTAGGAAAATTTCTGTTGTAAACTCTTATTGATATAATACTATTTTCTTTAAAAAAAATTTTCAGTATTTTATATTTATCTTGTTTTTATTTTCCAGTCATTCAGGCACTAGGTGAACAACTGAAGGTTCGACAACAGGTTATAGCCACAGCAACTGTTTATTTTAAAAGATTCTATGCAAGGTTTGTGTTTTGTCAAAAATAAGATTCAGTTTTTGTTATTATTTCCAATACTTTGAAGAAGAGCTTGATTTACTATTGCATAGACATGTGATATTGTATATAGATGTCATCATAGACATGTGATATCGTATATAGATGTCATCATAGACATGTGATATTGTATATAAATGTCATCATAGACATGTGATATTGTTATGCTAGGTGACACTGGCAAATGGAAAGAAAAGGGTTAAGTTAAAAACATAAGCTTGGAACAAGACAAAAAAGGTTAAAGTATAGAATGATAGCCAGACTGAGAGAAAGCATGAAATTACTTTTAATTTTGCAAGTCTTTTTTCTTTTTTCTTTATTTTTTTTCTTGATCAGAGACAGCTTGAAGAAAAGTGACTTTGTTGGAAAGATACTGCCACAGAGGCCTTGTCGTAAGGCCTGGGTGATAGTTGATTGATGACACTGCCTAAAAAGTGCCAATTACAAAAACATCAGTCGAGAGATAAAATTTGGTAATTTTAAAGAGAAGGCAGAATTGGAGAACTGATTTATTTTGCCTACCAAAAAGTGGAAATTGTAAACAAGTCAAGGAAATGAAATTACCCATGGTTCTTGGGATGCAAAGACCCTGGCAGGATAGGGAGGCAACTGACCAGAGGAAACAGCTGGTAAATTTCTGATTGTATAAACAAGACCAGGCTGGGAAAAGTTTGCTGACAAGAAATTAAAATGATTCTAATTAATGACCAGAATCTAAGGCACACCATGCGGTTTGAGAACCAGATTCATCAAATGGACAACCAAGGTAACAGGTGAAGATGAGATACTAAGAGAGGAGGAGGAAGAAGACAGAGGAATTGCCTACGTCCATTGTGAGGTGTTAGTACAAGGTAAGAGAAGGAAGGAGTTATCAAGGTGGATCAATAGTCTGTGATCACTTCTACTCATAAGAATTGGAGATATAATTAATATTTTAGAGGAGCTCCAATTGTAAGATAGGGAAAACACCAGGTTCCCTAACAATGTTGACCTCCATGCCAGTTTTGGATGAAAGTCAATATAAGTAAAATGCACAAGCAACCAAGCCAGTTCTGACATGCAGATGATGAACCACTACTATTCTGCTGAATCCCATGTGACTTGCTGCCAGAGAGAACCTTCAACTTAAACCTTGTTTCAGACTTAGCAAAATTGAGCAAATTCAAAGTGGGAAGGGTTAATATTTCTGTACCAAGAACGATATAAACCACATAAAAATAGACCCTGAAGAAATTCCTGTCTTTTCTTTATTTTGTCTACAAGAACATTTTTTATTTTTCTTTTGTGACATAGTTTTGCCAAGACTGAGCCAATGCTACAATTGCTAACAACAATTTCATCTTTGCCAGCTCTGTGATCAATCAACAGAACATGGGGCAGAGTGGGGCACAGATTGGAATGACCAACTCCAACAGCCAGCGACAACACTGACCAGGGACCGACCGGCAAGAAGTGTTATAATATTATATATAGATGTCATCATAGAAATGTGATACCATCATAGACATGTGATATCATATATAGATATTATAATAGACATGAGATATTGTATAGATATGACTGCTCAGCAATTTAAAGAAAATTCTTCTTTATTATTTTTATTTGATTCTTATCATTTTATTATAGTGTCATGCATATATTTTGGTCTTCTTAAAGGTCAGTACCAAGGACACAGACCAGTGGTGGCTCTTTGAGCTGGGGACACCTAGGGCTCCTAATAACATCTATGCATGCATATATGTGTATGGTGGGTGCTTCTACTGCCTTTTGGTGGTCCTGGTCAGTATGCTAGAAAATCTACAAATTGTAGTAAGAGGTTTAATCTTGGCCTCTTACTTGAGGTCAGTTGAGATATATGTGTGTGTGTGTGTGTGTATATATATATATATATATATATATATATATATATATATATATATATATATATATATATATATATATATGTGTGCATTCAAGATACCAAGAAATGTTGGTTCATAGTATTTGTTATAAACTAACTAGTACTACAAAACGATGTAGGTATATAGTAGCCTACAATGTGACCTGTTTCATAATGAATTTTTATTGTTGTATTTTGCTGCTTATAAGACACATTTTTTCCCTATAAAATATCTCCAAAAATTACTGTGTCCTATAAATCATTTAGATTGTGGTGTGAGTGTCAGCTCCTGAGTTAGACTTGATTCTGAGCCCTTGAAAGTAAAACAAGTCCAGTGTTTCAAGATTTAAATTAACAGTATTTTGAGAGAAGCTATTTATTCATTTGGGATACTGGGATATTGGCAGGAAATTAAATTCCTGCTACACTTTAACCTTCCTTCCTTCCTTCCTTATTTCTTAAAGCATTATCATATGTTTTAACCTACATATAAATCAAACTTAACCTTATTTCTGTTTCCAAATTTACATGTATACAATTTAAAATTAGTGCTCCATCCTGGTTTGTGATGAATTCATCACAATTAGTAAGGATTTCAGGCAGCAATAAGGTTACATTTTGGTGATATTATGCATTCTAACTTCTCTTCTAATTATGACATTCTAAATAGTCACCATGAATTTGGTCAGAGATGAATTTCTTGTGATTAGTCTGGTTTTCATGCTGAAATATGCTATTTAGTGGGTAAACTTGGAGATAGTGGGGAGAGATATGATGTACAAAGAAAAATTTAATGCATCAAAGTGTCTAATAAGCAGTGAAAGGTGGTATATTGTGTATTGGCAGTGTTGTTTAGCTTGGTCTCTACTGCAGAGTATGATAAATTGCCATCAGCATCTTTATGGTCATTTTATTTCCAGTAAATGGCAATTTCCTACTTTTTCTCCAAAATAGGCCGGCACAGCCAGGCAACAATGCAGCAGTGAAAATATTAATGTGTGTCTATTTTAAATATCATTTTAAATAAATTTCCATTTTTCTTCTCCAGAAATTCATTAAAATGCATCGACCCATGGCTGATGGCGCCAACAGCAATATTTCTTGCATCAAAAGTTGAAGTAAGTCATCTTTATATTTTACCATATATTGTATATTTTATTCATTAATGTTTCGTACTGCTAATAACTGCACTTTTTGTTTTTTTGAAGCAGACAGAATTTGTTTTAATGGTTTTTTTCATAAAACTTAGCACTTGTGATGGTTACTTTTTTAATTCTAAAGTATTTTTACTGTGTTAATTATTTTTTCTATTCACCTTTTTTCTCTTTATTTGTTAGGAGTTTGGTGTAATATCTAACAATAAATTAATGACCACATGTCAAAGTGTTGGTAAGTATGTACATATTGTTCCAAATATTTTATTTTATACTTTTATGATCCTTTTACTTCTTTCTTCATATCAATACACTTCTATAGCTTGACTGAATGATGAGAATTTCTATCAGTGCACTTCTATGGCTTGACTGAATGATTAGAATTTGTATCACTGCACTTCTATGGCTCAACTGTGAATGATGAGATCTTGTATCAATACACTTCTATGGCTCAACTGTTAATGATGAGAGTTTCTATCAGTGCACTTCTATGGCTTGACTGAATGATGAGAATTTGTATCAATGCACTTCTATGGCTCATCAGTGAATGATAGAAATTTTTTATGCAGTTATTTGATTAAGTACTGAAATGAAGGAATGTCATTGACAAAATCAATTTTTTTCTTCTCTTTATAAATATTTTCTCATGATTCCTCAAAGACTTTTGCAGGCATCTATTTTTAGAGTTTTTCTTTAAACTAATCCTTTAATATTTATCAAAACAAAGTACTTTTCAATGATCACTTACACCATGCTGAATTCCATCTACTCCGTTCTGGACTGTATAATTGAAATTTGACAATTTCTGCAAATACATTTCCTAGACTTATTTAGTTTATTTACTAAACTTAGCTTTGGCTGACATGAGCCCCAAATTACTAACAGCACGTATTTTTAAGTGGTTACTCATTTCTATATTGAACAATTTAAGTCTTGCTTAACTGCTCTTGTCAAACAAAACTGGTGCTTTCAGCATTATTTGACTATAAAACCTATGTATTTACTAAGGTCATTTTAGTAGGGTACAAGGCTACATGTGCAGAGCACTCAACAAGGATTGAACTCCTTATAGTATTAAGCCTTTCCAGAAAGAGCTGGGTAGCCAAACATATGCATTTTTTAATAATTGCCTATAGAGGTGTATATGCTGTTAAATCAGCTTGTCAAATATGGTAGCTTTGTGTCTGAATTTATGGCATGAGGAATTAACATTATAACATTCAGCCTAATGTACTCATTTTTGTTGTTATTTTCACATTGCTTCTGCCAGTATGTTCTCCAGCCTTCTTCAGGTAACTATTGGCCCAGGTAATCTTCAAAAAATTCTGAACTGAACCCTTTATTTAATTAACATAGGTAGACTGTTCATATCTAAAGATATCTAGTCTTGTTGCATTTAGTATGGATCAGTTACTGCTTGCCTTGTCCCTAGTGTATTAAAGCATAGGTTTGTAAATTTGCTAGCATAGTAATTATAATTTAAATCACTGGTTCAAGTAGTACAAACTTAGACTGCTCAAGTGGATAGATAAATATATAAACACCCACCCTAGAGAGAAGATAACCTCTCATATGCATCTGTGTAAGAATGTAGCATCCACATTCAAGAAAGGCCAAAAAGACACCCACCCATTAACCAATGTTAATTAACAAAGTCTAGAGTTGAATAAAATGTAATATTACATATGAGAAATTTAATTTTGTGTCTTCATTAGTAATGTACAATGATGAAATTACAGATATTACTTTTTAGACATTCCCTGTATCGAGTTTATCATTTCAAATATAAGCAGAATTATGTTTTTATGCATAAAAATTATATTTCCCTGAAGAAATAACCAAATTTATGAAATTTGTACATGCTTATTGGCATGGAAAATGGTAACAGCAAGCCAAGTTCAAATTCCACCTGAGGCTGCTCGTATTCATTTTACACTAATGCTTTCAGGAAAGTCATGAACCTATTTCTTCTCCCCACCAGCTAGGGGTGAAATAGTTGGGCAGACTAAGCCCTTTAGCTGTGGCAGGTCAACTAGTCTGAGAGAACAAGCCTGAAGAAGAATGAGTTCTGTCAAGCAATCTTCTAGTTTGTAGTAAATGTGGTGCCCAACGACCCTCCAGTGGCTTACATTATATGTGTATTTGCTGAATATTTTTACCTATACAAGATATATATAATTTTTCTGTTCAAGTATTTTCAAATGTCGATAAAACATTGAAGAGTTAACACCAATTTCAGTTATATATTTCATTGTAAGAATAAGATTTAAGTTTATAGTAAATATTTGTTATGCAGTGGATAAAATTAGAGTTAATATTTATCATATTATCATATTATTTTTCAGTGAAGACCAAATTTTCCCATGCTTATACTCAAGAATATCCTTATAGGATAAATAATGTCTTAGAATGTGAATTTTATTTGCTAGAAATGATGGTGAGTATTGATATTTTTTTTTACTATTATAATTGGCATTTGTAATCAAATTAGTAATTTGTAATTACTGTGAAAAAAAAGAAGGATAAAGACTCTTTATATTACAACTAACATACTACCTGTCTATCTATTGTGAAAAATGATAAACACACACAATGTGTATGTACACAGACATTTCATTTATGTATGTAGATTTGTTGTTTAATGATAAGAATATAACAAAAATTTGATAATGTTATTGCAACTGTTCTTTGCACAAATTACTTCATGTCTACAATTGTCATCAAACTAAATGTTGTGGTTTTAGAATTAGTACATTTAGTGGTGGTTCTATTTGTTAATCAAGGCTTATGGCTACATCAGATTGAAACATTCGCCCTGTTGGCTGGGGCTTCAGAATACACTGACTACACCTCTGCAGAGGGGTACCCCTCCACCCCCAATGAGGCCACTTATTGCCCATGAGTGGCAACCCGAGATGCTTGGGGATGGGATCCTGGTGATTGGGGGCGTCAGGAGGAAGGATGGATTAACTCCCGAATCCCAACATGTCACTTTGGCCTTTACTTGGGCTAGATGGGCAGTTGGAGAGGCCCAAAACAATCAACTGGTTGGTCATGCTAAGCCCTGATTCAGCTTTTTACTTCTTCTGCAAGAGCTGAATCAAAAGGCAGTCACTGTAGCGTCAATGGTGCTAAAAAGACACAATTGTTCCAAATTATGCCTGAGCAAGTAGTTAACTTGGGAACTAAGACTTAGGAGGTTAAATAATTATTACCTCATCATAGTGTGAGTATACTGACTGTATAGCACTGATTTGCCAAGGTGAATGGGCTTCCAAAAATCCAAGCTAAACAACTCTACTTGGAGTCAGATTCTTATCATGAACAGACTGAGGTACACTTTTACTAGATCTATAATACTTGAATCCACAGAGGAAGTCCCACTAACCAAATTATCACTATTCCTGATTCAAAAGGTCATATCTGCAATGGTTAATCTGAAATCAGTAAATAAAATTAAAAAATGGAACCATTCAAATAGAAATATCAAATAAAAAACATACAAGCACACTATTAAAGACTAAAAAATTCCATGATATTTGTATAAAAGCATACCCACAGGAAAAATTGAATGTCTCTAGAGCTGTAGTTTGTAGTGGAGATCTGTTCCTTTGTACCATAGAAGAAATAAAAGCTGAGTTAAAAAAAAAAATGTGACTCACATCAAAAGGATAACAATTAAAAAAAAAAAAAACAAAATCAAATAATTAATACTAACACATCTATTATCTTTCAATACTCTGACACCATCATCTGAAATGAAAATTGGATATTTAATAGCTAAAGTAGAAAAATATATTCCAAATCCAAAAAGATGCCATAAATGTCAAAAATATTGACATCTAAAGGAGTATTGTACAAGAGACCAGGCATATGCAAGATGTGGGGTAATAGAACCAAACCCTCATGATACAACATGTAAAAATCAGTCAAAATGTATCAACTGCAATGGAGATCACAGAGCTGATGCTAAAGAATGCTAGACTTGGGTAAAAAGAAAAAGAAATAATAAGAACTAAAATCACTCAGAACATTACATTCCCAGAGGCTAGAAAACTTACAGAAATCTCCTTTTCTTTTCAAATTTATGCAAAAATCACCAAAACCAAATGTAAATGAAAATCTAGGAAGTCTGACAAAGAAACAAAACAAAAATACAATTAACATCATTAATAAATGAGTTGCAAAACCTCATTAAAACCTTAAAAAAACCAGCATAAGAAATACGGAAAATAGTTCTCACTACCAAATTAAACCATAACCAAATAACTGAAGAAAAGAAAAAGAATGAAACACAAATCAGTAAGAAAAACATAGAACTATATCAAAGATGGGAGAAAAATACAAAAACCAACCCAAAATGGTCAAACGACAAAGAAATTTAAAAAATTTGAACAAATGGAAATTGAAATGGATCCTTTACCCTCAACACATTATAAACAAGATGACATAACTTAACAAAACAAAAATGTTATAATAGGAAGGAAATATTGGTTACTTAATACTCAATAAAAGAACATAAAAATCCAATAAAAGTCAGAACACACACACACACACACACACACACACACACAAATATGAATTGCCATGGGCTAAAAGCTAATTTTAACAAACTTTTACTACTGTTAACAGACTCATGTCCAGATGTTGTTTGTCTTCAAGAAACCTTTTTAAAACAAAAAGATAAAATAAATATTAAAAATTATCAGATATATAACTATATACATGGGGCAGGACAAAAGGCTTTGGAGGAACTTTTAACCTCATTAGAAACAACATCACCCAGAGCCAAATTAATATATCTACAAACTTTCAGACAGTTGTGGTTAAAGCCAGCCTGCATAAAACCATCAACATATGTTCAGTATATATAGTCTACCAAAATATCCCATAAACAAAAATGAGCTCAAAAGTTTGATAGACCAAGTACCCAAGCCTTTTATTTTATTAGGAGACTTTAATAGCCACAATACTGCATTGGAAAAATTGTGAAGAAACTTATAAATTAAAATGTCTTATCTCGACTATATAAAGGAGCACATACATATATAAACCCTTTCTTGGGGAACTATTCAGCCATCAATCTGACTATATGCAACCCAACAGTATATTTGGGCTTATCTTGGGGTATAAAAGATGACACTTATGCAAGTAACCCTTTCCAGACCCTCCTGGAAAAGATCAAACCAAGTAATTAAAATATACCCTGCTGGAAAATGAACAAAGCAAATTTGTAAAGAAAATTTAACACGAAACAACAATATAGATTCAACAGATTGCTTTACAGAAATACTAATTACTATAGCAAAGAAATATATCCCCAAAAATTCAACATCAGATAGAAGAAACAGACCCTGGTTCAATAGTAAAAGTTTGCAAACCTTAAAATTATGAAAGGCATCTCTATGAAAATTTAACAAAGAACATACAATGGTTAAATCTAAACAATTACAAGATATATAGAGAAATGGCTTGGAGAGCAGTGAAAGAAGCCAAAAAAGAATGTTGGCAAAAATATGTCAACAAGCTAAGCTCCTCTTCAGAAACAAAATCAATGGGAAATGGTAAGGAAAATACCAAACAACACCAATTAAGCATCTTTACAAAAATAACAATATCATGATCAACAAAAAGGACATAACAGATATATTAGCTGAAACTATTTCTTTAAGTAAAAATGAAAAACAGAAACTGAAAGGCAGACTAGGAAAATTCATAAAGGGTTTTCTTACTAGCAAGAAATTCAAAGTCCAGGTTAGATCAACTCTCTCTAAAAAATGAAATAAAAAAAGCAACAACAAGGAGTGCCCTAAGGCAGTATTTTTTTATCAGTAACATTGTTCAGTATAAAAATAAATAATATAGTAAAAAAAAATTCAACTGTGGAGTCGGAGGACTTTTGTATGTAGATGACTTCCTTATATTTTACAATTCCATACATATACATACCATAGAAAGAAAATTACAGCAGTACCTTAATAAAGTTAACCAATGTGCAGCTGAAAATGGCTTCAGGTCTTCTAAAGCAAAAACTAAATGCATGCACTTCTGTCAGAAAAGAAAACTACACAATGATTTTACTCTAAGACTAGAAGAGACTGAAATACCATTTGTAGATCAACATAAATTCTTGGAAATAATAGTTGTAAAAAAAAAATGTACCTCTAGAAGAAATGTAGCAAAGCAATACAACTCCTTCGTGTGGTGGCTCACAATGAATGGGGAGCAGACAGGAAAACTTTACAAACACTTTACTGGTCTCTAATTAGATCAAAACTAGTTTATGGTAGCATCATATACAGTTTGTCAAGAAAATCCTATTTAAAACTCCTTGATTCTACTGTCCATGGAGGTTTAAGACTGGTGCTTGAAGCTTTTAAAATCTCACCACTTGGAAGTTTATATGTAGAAGCTGATGAAACTCCTAATATCAGATGGGAAAAAATGACATTACAGTATTATACAAAACTAAAATCCTGTTCATCTAACACTTCATACAAAAATACTTTCCCTCAACACAGAAACCTCTATCAACAAAAAGAAAAAAAAAACTATAAAACCATTTGGGTTTTGAATGGAACCCCTTATTGAGGAATCTAAAATACAACTGACAACAATCCATGATAATATCACTCCTAATATTGTTCCTTGGACCATACGATCTCCAAAAATAATATTGGACTTATGCAAATTCAAAAAACAAATATGCATCCTCCTAACTTTCAGGAAGAATTTGATAAAATCATAGAAAATTATCCCAGTCACACACCAATCTTTATGGATGGAACCAAACACGGAAATATAACAGGATGTGCGGCAATATCTTAGAAGAAAATAAGCAGTAAGCACTTCACAGACAAAACCTCCATCTTCAATGCTGAAGCCTATGCCATAGATCTAGTGCTCAGAATTATTTCAGTAAATAAAAACATAAAATTTATCTTTTTCGATTCACTATCAGTTCTAACAACAACAAAAAACTTGACAACCCATTAATAATCAAATTGCTAAATAAACTCCATTTAATATCTGTGTTGATAGATGTGATGTGTTGGATCCCAAGTCATGTTAGAATAATTGGAAATGACAAAGCTGATACAGCTGCTAAACATGTTGAAAATATGGAAATTGACCTGAATTTTAAGATCCCTTACACAGACCTGAAGAGCCAAATAAATAGATTTATTAAACAAAAATGGCAACAACATTAGAGTATCAAAACACCAAATAAATTACTACAAATCAACCCAATACTTGGTGAATGGAAGCTATGATACAGAAAATCACGAAAAGAAGAGGTAGTATTGGTCCACTTGCACATTGGCCATACAAGAATTACACACACTCGTACCTACTGAAAGGGGAAGAACAACCAACATGTCCAACTTGCAAATCTGCATGCACTATAAAACATGTATTGACTGAATGTACAGCTCTTGCTCCATCTAGGAAGACTTTCTTCAAAATAAACAACATACAGAAGTTTTTTCAAAGAGCAAGGATGGATGTTTTATCATTTCTCAAAAGAGTGAGTTTATACAAAAAAATATAAACCTAAAAGAAAACAAAAAAATATCTAAACTAACCAAAGTAATTGATACCATGTGATGAAAAAGTAAATAAATAGTTGATACCTCATTTTAAAAAAAAAAAAAAAAAAAAAAAAAAAAAATTTTTTATGAAATATAAGAATATCTTAGCTTTAAATGACCCATGGGGGGTTGATAAGCTGTAAAACAAGAAAAACAAACAAATGTTGAAACACCAATTATCATACGATAATCAAAGTTAAGAAAAGTCCAGCCTGATTATTACCTAGGCGGCTAACCACTTGCGAATACCAGGTGCTGTAAGCTTGGATGTATGAGTGATGTAGTGGATAACAGCTTAGAATTGGAAATTGGCTCTCTAAGTTCCAATTCAAGTTGGGTTTGTTGTATTCACTTACACACAAATACCCTTGAGAAAGGTATGAATCCACTTCTCCTTCCAGCTATGGGTTAATTAGTAGAAATTATATCAGTTAATCACTATTTAAAAAAAATAGAATCACTAAAAAAAAAAAAAATAGATTCTAAAAATATTTTCTGGCTTTTAAATAACCTGAAAAGGTTTATAAACTGTAAAAAGCCAAATCAATCAGATCATTTGTTGATCAGCTGAATTTTATCCTAGACTGAGCAAGATGAAAAATAAAAATAAAGCTTTAAGGAGTTGCAAAGTATTATTTGATTTGAATATTGAAATTTATGTATATAATCTCAAGTTTTATCTGAATTTTAATGTATTGTTATAAATATTTTGAGATTCTATCAGTTTTAGATGATTCTTTTTCATTCAAAGTACATAAATACAGATTAAGGGAGATCATTATAAAAAATATATTTCAGTAAGAAGATAGATATAGATATACATTCATTGCTTTTCTTGTTTTAATGTTTTTTTCATGTCTTGTAAATCTTTCTTTTGTCATTTTAGGATTGTTGTCTTGTATTGTATCATCCTTATCGTCCTCTAATCCAATACTGTGCAGATTTGGGACAAGATGAAAACTTATTGCCTGTTGCTTGGTAAGAATACATTATTTTAAAGGAGTTGCTTGCAACTGCAAAATTAGTAACACAAAAGTGCATAATATTTTATCTTGACCACTTTGATATAATGACTCTTTTCATTTCAAAAACCAATCAACAGTGTTATATTTAAACTAAAATTATGATAATGATTATAGTCAATACTTGTTTAAAAACAAATGCTTTCACTGTCTCACTTAGAAATGTACAAAAACATAACACATTCAATGATTGCTGCCAAAATGATTTTACTGCTCACTCATTCTTAAAATGAATATTAATTCTATATTTTCTCTTTTTATGCATGTCTCTCTCTCTACATATGCATATTGAGTAAGAGTGATTTTTTTCTTTATATAAATATATTAATAAATCAGCAATTTCACTAAATTGAATAATTTTTTGTATTCCATTTGAAAACATTTTAAAAAACTGACAATTTAGAAAGTGTTTTAATCAGATTTTCATGTAAATTTCTTAAGCAGGTTTTTATCATGATTTATTTCTAACTGTTCAAACTATTAAATTTTCAAAGAATTTTTACTATCTTAGTTGATTATATTGAATTCTGTTTGTCTTAATTAAATACAAAAGTGCTTATTTTTAGTAAACAGTTTGTATTGTTACTTAGTCATACATGGTTGGTTGGTTGTGTTTTTTTTACAGGCGGATAGTGAATGATAGTCTTAGAACTGATGTCTGTCTAATGTACCCACCTTACTTGATTGCACTAGGTAGGTATTACTTTATTAAAACGCTGATATTTTTACTGTGATGATTATTATTTAATAAGTTCTTTTTGTTTTTTACTGATCAGTTTAAAAACCACATGTAAACATGAAGTCTAAGGCTTGTATTGCTTCTAAGGATGTGCAAGTAGTGTAACAGATATTAACATGAATTGTGGAATGCCTTTGAGAAAGATAAAGATCTGTTTCTTCTCCCCAATTTATGGGTTAAATAGCAAGGTAAACTGAACCCTTGAACCTTGTATAGCAGTGAGTCAAGGAGAAAATAACTCTGAATTAAAATGGGAAACTACTCCACTATCATTCCCCAAAAAGCATGGCAATTCACAAATAATAAAGAGAAGGAATCTGTAATGTCATAATTGTCCATGTCCTGAATGGACATGGCATTTGTAAAAAATGCTTATGAAATAATATTCATATAATGACCATGAGGCTTGCTGACTGCTGAGTGATATTAACAAAAGTTTTGTGTAAAAAGAGTCAAGAAATAATTTTCCTCTCCAAAGTTGTGTACATTATCTCCTGTTGAAAAACTGTAATACACCATGTGTACTCACATATAAGTCGACTTAATGTATAGTGCAACCCCTGAAATTTTTTTCCTGGATCTTAACCTCTCCAGAAAGTAATTACCTGTGTATAGTAAAACTGGTCAATGAAAATGCATGATTTTTAACCTCTTCAAAAGAATGAGCTGTGTATATTGCTCCCCTCCCCCAATTTTTGTGTACAAAAATTGTCATAAAAACGCTCACTATACTTGAGTATATACGGTATATTTGATGGAAATGCATTTTCTCCTATTTGAATTTAAATAATGTCAATTCATATTTTTTATAGATTGGTTAAATTTTTGATTTTTTAACTACTACTAATGCTGATCATTTAGTCTAATAATTTTCTTTATTAGCATATTCATTGTGAAAGGGCATTAACATTTTTACTACCTGACCTGTTAATCACCAAACAAAGTTAATTAACATCTCCCTTCTTGAAATTCATACTTTGTATTCATCTTATTCTCTACACACTCTGCTTAGAGCCTTTTCCTTATTAATATGTGAATTACCACAACTTCTTGAGAAAGAGTGATTCCTTGCGAACAACTCCATGGTTTGGAATTCAACGTTTCCTTTCTCTTAGACTAACTGCCACCCAGGGCTTGAGAGCTCAGTCTACTATTTACCCATAGCTAAGAGAAGATATTGCTTTCCCAAGGGCATTATTGTGAAAGTGAATGTAACCAAGCTAGAATTTGAACTTTCCATTTTCTGTGCTGATAACACTTTTAATCTTCTTATTTTTGGTATTTGTCATTACCAGTTGGTGCAGATTAGATACAGTCTATTGTAGTTTCTGTTGTATAAGGCACACTTTAAAAAAAAAACAATTTCCCAAAATTACTGCACCTTATCCTTCAGTGATTTGATTTGGGTACAAAACTGACACCTAAACACCATTGTTTAAGAGTCTCTTGAGGACTCCAGAATGAAATAAATGGTCAAACATAAAAATTTGTCAGTTGACTATTATTAATTTTTCCTAAATATTCCTTTCAAAATTATTGGCGTATATTTTGAGAATACAATAATTTCTTATCTATTATAAATATTTTCTTGATTTTTCTGATGTGTAAAATCTTTGCATTTTTATGTGAGAACAAGATAATGTTTCTCATAGTAATTTTGATTTAACTGCTGTTTTTTCTTGCAGCTTGTTTACACATAGCATGTGTGATACAAGATAAAGATGGACGACAATGGTTTGCAGAACTGTCTGTTGATATGGACAAAGTAAGTATTTTGTCTGCATCTTTATATCTTTTTATGCATCTGTTCAGCAAGAAATGAAGAATTTTATTTTTGAAAAGTGGTTCAGAACCAGATTAAATTTATTTTTCAAGATCATTATCATTATTAGCAATAACAAAATTTTAATTATCTGGAATTCTTGATAAAAAAAGAATTTAGATAATTTTAAATTGATATTTTCATTTATTTTTAAAGGATTTGCCAATAAGAAAGTTTTCCAGTGATTCGTTCAAATGGAAATCTAAATGTGTTAAGCTAGTTAGAAAGATGGGGTAAAATATTCCAAGGTTATATTTTAAACTTCTGAGTTAAGGTTTTTGTTATTTTAACGAATGACACTTCATAATACTAGAATATTTTTGTATAAGATAAAAATAAATATTTCTTGTGATGGTTTTGCCTTTTTCTAAGTGTTCATAACAGACAAGAATTACCATGTTCCATTGACTTTTCACCAAGATTTAAATGTCAACATAAATTTTTCATTCAGAATTTCCATAAAGGATAAGAGAATTAATTGCACAGTGGGGTTTTTGTCATTGTTAATGGGGATGATGTTCTTGACAAATGTAATATTTATTAACATTTGCATTGTTTTACTGTTTCCAAAAATGTCAAAGCTAATCTATCCTTTACAGTTTTCCAATTACTTTTGTTTCTATAGAAACTTTCATAAAACAATAAGTTGCTCTTTTAAAAACATTTTTTTAAATCAGAATATTGATTGTTGGATGAAAGATATTCTTCATCTTTGAAAACTTGATACGATACTGAATCTTTTATATTACATAATTTATTAATTCATACCCCATCCAAAATAAAGGTAATGAAGAGGAACTTTCCAAGTCTGAGTATACCAATATCAAGAGGCTTATTAACCAATTAAATTAGCTTCAGTCCCCCCTCCCCACCAGACCAGACCAGACCAGATTTGTGCATTAATGTATGTGACTCCAGTTCCTTTCTCAAAGAAAGGAAAATTGAAAGTATTAGACAAGTAAATAAATCAGTAAAAGGGCAGAAATCTCAGCTGACCATACAAGATCTGGGAAAATTAAGACAGCTAAAAATGGTTGTCAACGGCAATGCTTCCTTTACTAATCTAAGTGATGGATGTTCCCAGGGAGGGTATATAATATTTCTTGTCAGTAGTCATGGCAACTACTGGTAGTCAAGATGTATTAGTTGTATATATGAGTTGTGAAGAGCACACAAACTGCTGGGACACTGATAATGGTTGACTTGTCTGATACATGTATATACCACAGAATATTCCTTCTTGAATTGTTGAGTTTTGAAGATGTTATGAATAACATCCCTGTTGTACACTAAACAGATAATTCATGTGTTTGCAAATCAGCCCATTCTAGTACTCAAATTCTGGATAAAAGACTTAGAACTGAGATGGCTATCTTGCATGAAATGTTGATCAATAAAGAATTGTCTGACATTAAATGGGTGTGCACAAGTCACCAAATAACTGACTCATTTACCAGATGAGGTGTTCCCTCATCCAAGATTCTTGGACATATGGAACCCAAAAGAATATTTGACTTAGGTCTTATAAAATTTCTTTGTTGCCTGTATTATTATGTACTCTGCATGCCTCTATAAAGAAATTGGGGAAGTGTTAATGTTGTAGTATTTGCCCTTTCCTTTTGCTTGTTATTTAGTGCCACCAAGTGGTGGCTTCTATAAAATGCTAGCAGCCATATTGAAAATATTTCATTTGTTCAGTTGTCAATATTCAGGCTAACAAGAGGATAACCTTATTGCAAATGCAATTGATTCATTGAAGATTGACATTTATTTATAGTAAATAAAATTATACTTTGAAAAACACATTAGAAATTTATATTAACCTCTTGCTTTTGATGACAAAAGGAGTATGAGACATTAGAACCATGTCTGAATAATAAAAGATTACAAAAGGTTATTAGAACAGTAGCACAGTTAGCCACTCATGTCTATAGAATTTTACTTTTCATGGATTCAAATAGCTGGGAATAAAAAATGTAAAATATAAAAAAGATCTCAGCAAAGTTAAAAAAAAACCCAAAAAAACTTGAATTTGCTACATGCAAGCCCTTCAAGTCCACATAAATGAAGTGTACACATACCGTACTGTAGCCTCCCACTATTTCACAGATCCTCAATTTCTCTCCTGTACTCATTACTTGAGCATGGTTCATCTTGGTTATTTGCTATTTGTATTGTGTGTGTGTGTTTATATATATATATATATATATATATATACACACACACACAATGTTGAATGTGTGTATGTGTGCTTTGGAAGGAAAACTTTTAGAAAAAAAAAAAAAAATTTTGAAATAAGTACCAAAAAGTTTATTGAAATGCAATAATTAATTTTGATAGATTTTATAAAATTTAACTACCTTTCACCTAAAAATTTTCTAATGCAAATTATGGTTGTTTTTGTTTATAGATGAGCAGCTTTTTTCACACATCTCTGATTCTATTATTTGGGGAAGCAAAATTTAAACTAAAAATTTCTGCAAACCATTACACCAATTGATGTGAAATTAATACAAAACAATGAATATACTGTCAGCTATTAATACCCACCTATTTTTCAGGAATATTGTGAAAAATGGCTTCACAAAAAAATGAAGAGTATAATACTTGCTTTGTGCACAAAGTGATCCTAAGAGCATCTCCAACATAGTTGGTGTGTCCTTACACACTGTCTACAATGTCGAGAAGGCCCTAGACATGGGTAATGACAACCAGAGGAAACTGGACCGCAATGGAGTCAAGAAGAAATATAATTGGGATTTCATTAATTGCCTTAAAACCAAAATTGTCAAGTGTCTACCATATTTTCTTTTGCATAATGAGAAATTTTGAATGAAATTTAAAGGCAAAGACAGGGGTTTGTATTATACACAAATAGATGTTTTCAGAAATTTCTACTCAGCTTAAAAACAACCTATCTGAAATAGCAAGATTGCAAATACACTTGGTTCTGCTCACAAGATAAAGTTTGTTTATATTTTGATTTTCTTTCTTCATTCTTAATGAAAGACAATATATATTTTTTTCATGGTTTGGAATTTATCAGGAATGAACCCCATTGGTTAAAAAGAAACAAAGGGGATTCATTAATTAACTATAATTAGTTCTAATAATGTAGTATTGTCTTATTATTTTAAATTAATTCCAATCAAACAAAAAGATTCAGAAATAGCTGAAAAAAAACAATGAATTTGTTCTGGATAAAGAGTGAGGTGTAATAAAAATAGGTACCTCCACTTTTTTGTTAAGATTTTCAATACCTAAGGATTAAAATGAATTTTTAAAAATGAATAAAGCATTCTTGAAGATTTCATTTTAGCTGTAACTGAAAGCTAAAGGATTAAATTTATTATTTCAAGTAAATAAAATATTTTGGTGTATTTCAGGTAGAAATTATATAGATTGGAATTTCAAATAATTGCTCAATTTTTAAAAAATTTTGTTAAAAGCAGCCATTTTCTTAATTTTTAAGAAATTTAAAAACAAACACATTTATCAGGTTTTAAATTCTTTAAAAATTATACATTTGTGACATGTTATTTGAGTAAAATTAGAAAATTTAAAGTTAAATTAATCTGATTTGAAATAAATATTATAGCATAAAAACCAATATACAAGCATTTCTTAACAATGGGTTCCTCTTTCTTTGATCTCTATTGATTTATGGAGAAACACTTAAGGTGATGACAGCTCTTATGGATGGCCAGAAATGACATATTTACGAAAACTAAATGAACACATTTTTTTTTTTTTTTTTTTTAGTTTTTAACTACCTAGTAATTTTTACAAATTAACATATTTTCAGCAATTATTTAATATTTTTTTATTGAGGTTTAGTTAAGTTTTTAAGAAGGTTTTATGAAATTTGCATTTCGTTTCTAGGTTCTTAAGTTTACTACCTTAAGCAAAAAAGTAACTGAAGTATGACCCAAACTAAAATAAATACATAAAATAAAAATATTTAGTGAAATAGCAATTAAGAAAAGTAAAACTTTTTTTGACATTTTGAGAGGATGATTTGCAAAGATGTTAATGATGAAACAGAACTGAATTAAAAGTTAAATAATTGCAGTGCGTCTGACAACACTTAAATCACATGATCTTTTTAAGTATCATGTCATCTATAGATTATCATAGGTAGAAATTAGGAACATTTTTTTTTTTTAAAAATTATTTCTAAAATTATTTTTAAAATATTCAAGTTCAAAGAACTGTTATGAGCTTTTCAAATTTCAATTTATAAACTTACTTTTCACTTAACGAGACCATCAGTTTGAAAGCAATGAAGAATTTTAAACAATTTTTGAACTATTATATTATTATAATTAAAAATTGAAAAAATAAATGAAAAAATTCTTGCAAAAATTTGTTATTCATTGAAAAAATTTTATTTCTTCAGACAATAATGTCCTTAATATAACTTATTTACAAAAGCAATTAAAACCTTTTTTAATTAAATAATGTCATAGTTTTATTGTATTTTTTATTTTATAATTTAGAGCAGATTTTCAATGTTTTACAAAAAAAATTGATGATTTACTTGCTCCAAAGAGTCCTGTTTTTAACTAATAAAAAATCCCCCGACTTAAAAATTTAATTTCTTGAAATTTTATGAAATTATGTATGTGGGTGGTAACATATGTAAAAAAAATTTTCTAAAAATAAAAATTTAAAAAATAATTTCATTCATTTCTGAATATGTCCTGAAAGTTTCATTAAACTCCGACAATTATTTGAATTTTGCAAGAATTTCCAAACCAATGTGTTTTCCTTGGAAAAAGTGCAAAATAAAACAAACCTTTTTTTTCTCTAGTTCGCTGCTGTTGTAAAAAAAACAAAATTTTTAACTAAAATTTCAAACATGCTAGAAAGGAGTAAAAAATTTCAAAAAATAATAAAAAAATAGTTTGGTCTTTCCTCCTAATAACATAAACATTTTGATGACAAAACTTTGTTTTTATTGAGTTTTGAACTTTTTTTCACCAAACTATGCTGTTTTTTTACACGACCTAGTAGAGGTACCTAAATAAAAATATTTGCTAGTAACATGGTTTTTTGTTTTGCTAAAGAGGACACAAAACTACAGAAAAATACCAATCAAGTTTGGTTTAGAGGTGTAAATAATTTTCTGTATGATTGTTGAAATTGAAATTAAGATATTTTCACATTGATTTTTCTGGCTTTCTGGAAATCATTATTTACATGATGTTTTAAATTATAATGGGATTTTAAGATGGAATGATCATAACCCTACAAAATGATACCAAGTTTACTGAAATTGAACTAACCAAAGAAATGTTATTAGCCTTAAGGTTTCCCCTCCCTCAGATCCAGATTTCCTTTGGGGTGGGGGTATTTAAAAACTGGTGTGTTTGGTGAAGTGCAAATAAAAATATCTGCTAGTAATGTGATTTTTTTTGTTTAAGAGAACCCAAAGCTACATGAAAATACCAATCAAATTGTGTTTGGGGGTTGTACATAATTTTCTATGTGATTGTTGCACTTGAAATTAAGATATTTTTGCATTGATTTGATTTTTCTGCCTTTAGTGAAATCCTTATTTACATGAGTTTTTTAAATTATAATGGGATTTTAGGATAGAATGATCATAACACTACACAACAACATTGAATTTATTGTAATTTGACAATCTGAAAAAAAGTTATTGGCTTTAAGGTTTCCCCTCGTGCCAAATCCAGATATCCCTTTTTTTTCTGGGGAGGGGGTTACAAATGGGTATTTCTAGTCTAGTAGGAATGAGTTTACTGCTAGTTATTTGATTCTGGCACCACAGAACCCTGAGCTACAAGAAAATATCAAAGAAGTTTGTGTGTTGATAGAATTTCCCTCCTAGCCCACAGTCTAGATCTTCCAGGACCAAACCACCATGCCAGGTTATGGTCTTGGTCATTGTGAAAGTTGTTTCTATTCTTCTATAAGGAGAAAAAGTGAGTACTGATGCCTGAGACAAGGTCCTGGTTTACTATGATTTGACATGTGTTACAGGTTTAAGAATTAGGACAGTGCTCCTAGTTACACACATCTAAGAAACTGTAGAATTTCTGCAAAACTAATTTTGCTGATTTTGAGCAAGCAGCCCTCGTCCAAACTGAGCCTGAACCTTGAGCCCTGTAGGCTATGATATGTGGGATGTTTTAGAGTAGCATCCCCTCCAATCCCAGGATCAATATCCTCAAGACTGTCATCAAGGAGAAATGGGTCAATATATTCAACAGATTTGTGATTAAGAGATGTGTGGCTTTTTGAGTTAACACTGAAGCTGGAAATGAAAAATAATGGAAGAAGTTTTTGCTTCCCTACTCTGTAAAGAGTAGACATATTTTTTACATAAAAACTTTCTCTCATCTTGATCGTGGCACAAAATTCTAACAATGAAATAAAATCTTCTACAATTGTTTGCATTTATTTCCCCTTTTATAAACAAATAGGAAATATTGACTTTGTCTTAATTGTAGAAACATAAATTTAAACCTATTTAAAAATACTTGTTTAAATATCTTTCAGGTTCTGGAAATTACTAAACAAATTTTAGCTCTGTATGAACTATGGAAAAACTATGAAGAGAAAAAAGAAATTGTTCCTGTTCTTGCAAAGATGCCTAAACCTAAAACAAACCCAACCAGGTAAGATTTTATGCAATGAAAAACAAAATTGCCAGAAGAGGAGAAAAGCTTACTGATCAGTAAAATCTGCTGGAAACATCTGGTATAAAAATGATTTTAAATGAACATTTTATTGTTGAGGGTATTATTTGGTATCTGATGGATGAAAAATGTAACTTTTTATACTTCTCTCTTTCCGTTCTTAAGTATATTAAGCATAAATTACCTTTTTTATTCCATAATTACACATTACTACTGAAGCCAAGTGAAAAGCCTTTTTTTTTTCTTTTTTTTTTTCTATACCACTATTTTATAAAAGTCATTTTTATTTTTACAATAGAAATAGCCTTCTGCTATTATTTATTAAATAATAGAGTGGTTTCCTATTGCTAAAGTTTAAATTAGGTTAAGCATTTTTCAAAGTTATTGCAAGAAAAAAAGTGTTAAAATTTCAGTTATTGTATATCATTTCATTCTGAGCATAGATTTGTGTGTAGGTATGTAAATTAGATATTTAGTTTTGTAAAAGTAGAAGCTGAAACTAGAAATTGAAATTGGATTTCCAGTATTCACCTTTAATGATTTAAGTTTTAATCTCTTTTCCACACATAATCACCCAAATACTGAATTAAACATTTGAATCTGGGGAATATTTCTGTACATGTTTCAAAATTAACCAACTTCTATTCGCAACACATCTACACTGACCACAATTAAGGCAACACCAGCTCTTAAATTAGGTTATCTGAATTTGTAATGAGCTTAGTATGTAATAATTTCAAATGATAGGAAAACTCAGATTACATATGCATACACACAAAAATTATACATACCCCTGTAAAATTTGTCATTTTGAAAAAGTTTTTTCATTTTTTAAATAGATTTTTTTTCTGATTCAAATTGATATATAAAGAAAAAAAAATGAACAAAACAATAAATAAGAAATATAGAGAAAAACTATAATTCATTGAAATATTGTTTGCAATTTGATCATAAGGGACAAATGAAAATTATTCATACCTATATCTTAAAATAAACTGCAAAGTTTTTATTAGGTATCATGGTCTGTAGTTGGTGCTCATGCTTCATCACCTGATTATGATAAGTCCTAACAGGAATTTCAGCCCACTTCTTTTTTTCCTAAGGTCTTCAGCTTCTTAAAGTTGGAAGACATCCTTGTCATTATTGTTCATGAACCATTTCTTGGACAACTTTGACATGTGTTTTTGGATCATTGTTTTGTTGGAAGGTTTATTGATGTTCCAAGCCAAGTATTTCATCAGATTATTTGATATTTTGATTCAAATTTGATTATACGAATATGATCCCATCCACGTTCACCAGACTACCAGTCTCATTAGCTGAAAAAAACACTTATAATAATATTGTCACCAAATTTACCTGTTGGGCAGTGTTCTTTGGGTTGAAATCTTCACTTCTTTTTTTGTAAAACAAATGAAACATCTTTGCACCTAAGAAGCTCAATTTTTGTTTCATTTTACAGAATTGATGACCAGACATTTGAATCTTTGTCAAGATGATTCTTAGCAAAAGATAGACAAGCTTTTACATACTTGGCTTGGATCATTGAAGGCTTCTTCATTGTCAATGAAGGCCAGGGTTATGTAAAGCTCACTGGAGTGTTTGCCAAGATATTTTGATACCAGAGTCATTCAAAACAGTCAAAAAATCCTTATTGGTGATTTTCTTCCTTTTTTTTTTTTTTTTTTTTTTTTTTTTTTTTTTTCTATGTCGCTGAGGATTCTTCATGTAGCATCAGGTATGATACCTTAGATTTCCTCTCTTATTCATTGAGGTTTTTCACATTGTGGACATTCTTGAATTTCTTGATAATACTGTTGGAACTGGCTATGGAAATTATTTGGATACAGTTTGTAGCCTTTCTCCTTATTGTAGGTAGCCACAATCTTTAACCTGAGCTCCTTACGAAGTTCTTTAATCTAAACCATGGATACTAGTTTCTTTCTGATGAGATTTGACAAAGATTACAAATGCTACTCTCTAATTCCTGCCAGAGGACACATTTTCTTTATTAAATTTTCTCAAGTATGCAGACTAGTAGATGAAATAAATACTGTTTAAAACAAATGGAGTGTCTACTAAAATGCAGGTATCCACTGAAAACATTCAAAGTAATAAAACTATACATTTGTAAAGTTAGTTGGAATTTGTCTACCTACAATAACTAGGTAATTTGACTAAATTCAAAGAGTGTACTCATAGTACTAAAATGATTTCTAATGTCCTTCATTTAAAAAAAGACCAGTAGGTTTAGAAATTCTGATCTTTGATTTCATTACATTATAGAAAAATATTTGTAAGTTTTTTTGTTTTTTTTTTAACTATTAGATGAAAAAGCACAGTATTCATGTCTCAGAAAATAATTTGAGGTAATTAAAGCTGTTTACAGCAGGAACAAAAGTAAGTGGAAGAAAATATAAAATTGCCAATTATTATATATCATTAATGTTATGCAAGGAAAACATTGTATAAGTTTACTTAAATTTGGGAATATTGAATTTGATATAATTCTCTCACAAAAGACGACAAAAACAATCTTACTCAAGTGTTAGAGGTTCATTAAGATACAACTTTAATGTCATTGTACAGGAGTAGTTGATTTGATGCCAATGTGTTATTAGTTAACATGATAGAGAACAAAAGATCCTTCAGTCTTCTGTTTGCATGTACTTTGAAGCAATATTCAATACTTTTCATTAGGTTTGTTAAATGTTTAAATAATTAAGTTCAATATTGCTTTTCTGTTATCTAATAGGTGAACAAAAAAAAATAAAAAGCTTGGTATTAATTGGCAACATGTACATCTATTCCTACTCTTAAAAATATTGAACCACTTTTTTCCTTCTAAATTTAGTAAACTTTCAACAATCCTTGAGATGTGTGGTTTAAACAATTATTCTAGATGTATTTTAATATATCTTCATTTTACTTTGAGTAAGCCTTTTGCATGGTAGCTATTTTTAATAATGTTTTCATACATTCCTTGTTTGACAAGGTTTTACCTTATATTTCTTTAATCTGAAATTAATTTTTACACTGAATTCACTTTCACTATTTTAGAAAAATTTAGACAAATTTTATTTTAGTCCTTGTATAGAACTTTGTATTTTTAATTGATTTTTTTTTCTTCATTGGGATAAACAAGGGAGATAAACTGAAAACTAAGTTCTGTTCTTGCAATTGACTGTGGCTCGACTTGAATATCTCTTCTAAAGTCAGTTGAATTTTTTTTTCTAGTTGCATGAAGGCTGATTTCACAACTCAGTGGCAATAGGTCTATTGCATGTTTTTATGATTTTATTCATTAATTAAATATAACTTTTTTTTTATAAATAAACAAGATCAGATATCTTAAAATATCATTGTATATTTTTTTGGTTCTTTTATGTGTACTTCATTCATTCAGCATGAAAATTACTATATTGTGAATAAGGCAGACAAATTGAACATGTCTGTCATGGTCGTATGAACCATCTATTTACAGTGATTTCGGAAAAAGATTTGTAAGGAAGGCTTCTTTTTTTTTTTTTTTTTTTTTTTCTAATTTTTTTGTTACTTCTTCATCTATGCTCCTTTGATGAATTGATCTTTTAGGATATAGCTGTCCTGTAACTTAGAGATTCATATATCAAGAGGAATCCTGGGTTTGTTCTTTGTTGTTGGCAGCAGTTCGAATGAGCTTTTTCTTTTTTTTTTTTTTTCCTCTGAATGTCCATGGCTGCTACTGGCAGTGGGGACAAATGAGAGATTTCTTGACAAGCTTGCTAAATCATTTGAACAATTGATGGGAAGTAAAAAGAAAATCCTCTTTTACTTACCAGCAGTGAATTGCCTTTGTAGATATTTTTTATTTATTTTTATTTTTTTGTAGCTGTGTACATTTACACTGTTGACATTTTTTTGTATTTTGTGTGTATGAATAATTATCAAATGTTAAATTGTGTCTTTGTTGGTTCTTCCCACCACTCAAACCTAGATTCTTTTCACTCCTGACATCTCTCACACTGATCACTGTATGGTATCAGTTAATAATAGCGCATTCTCTTTCTCTTTTCAACAAACTAACACATGCTTTTTTGTATTAACCAAGACTTGAACTAAAACACGAATTAATAGAAAAGAGGAGATTAGAAGTCTGCAGATATTGTGTAAAGTTTGTTATTTAAACCTTATATTACTATAAAATTGAAGTTTTGATTTTATTTATATAATTCACATCCTTTTTTCTAGAACAAAGCTACCTTTGAGGATGTTTGTTATGGCATATCATCTAAGTGCACCAGAATTCTTTCTGTTTGAATTTCTGGGATGTGGAATTATCATTATTTACATTTGAACTGGTGTCCTTATTTTTTTGTTATTATCATATTGTTTTGGCCATTCTACCTTCCAGCTTTCTTTACATATCTGTTGGTCTGGGTAAATCTATACCCATAGATTAAATAAAAGGTTCAGTCTGAAATTCCCTGAAGAATGATAGATGGTTCAATGATTAAAACAATATTATGTCAACAGCAAAGATGAAGACACCAGAATTCTTGTTGTATTTTTTTTTTTTTTTAAAAACAAAGGATCATAATTATATCTCCTTATAGTTTTCTCCAGCACTTTAGGGCTGGAATTAGTCTTGTTCTGTCTTTGAACATATTTCATCTTCGAGGCAGTACCTTCCACATTGTACTATAGCGAGGATTGTAAAAGTTCCTTACAAACAGACTGTGGAAACTCAGCATTTTCTGCCTCTACTAGATCACACATTAAACTTAACTTTGTTACATTTTACTCTTGTGCAGAATCAAATGAATGCTAACATCTTTTCTTGATGTTAGTAGTATCTTTAATAACTGGCCCATGTGTAGCTTCTTTTTTTTTTTTTTTTTTTTTTTTTAAACCATTACTGCCATCTAACTATTTATCTTGGACAAATGTTTCCCTATTCTTTCACTTTAGTCTTTGTGAACATTTTGATTAATCTGCAAGAAATTTCTATATTGCAGTGATGTGCCTGATGTGTAGTTTAGTAGAATGACTAACTTCTGACATGAAAGCAAAAATATATTTACACTTTACAAGAAAAAGATCCAAACAGGCAAAAAATGTTACATCTGAGATTACATTTTTTTCGTCACAGAGATTTACCAATTAAGGTTGCCTTGTTATTAGATGCTTTACCTATTTAGTTAAATTACTTAATTGCTACATTCACTACACTATCTCACTATTACAGAGTTAAATGTAATGTGACTTGTGTTGCTTATTCTCCATTACATAAGTAATTTATTTTTCATTCTTATCTGTTTGGCAGTCACACAATGACTAAACTACTTTTTAATTTCAGTTTCATCTAAAACTGTTTAAAATATATGTAGACTGTTCCAAGAAAAAAAAAGTCTGTGTGTTTATTTTTGAAACTATAAACAAAAATCTGTATTTATATATGACAGCTGAGCTGATAGGAACTGTCATTTGAAAAAGAATTTACTTCAAGTTTATGATAATGATATGCAATTTAAATAACATATCTTACCTAATACCTGATCCATGCTACTGCATTTTTTCATTCAAGGAGATGACTGTCTTGGCTTGGGCGGCAGAAGAACCAACTTAGTTATGAAGTCTTTACTAGATGACTGCTAGATATGAAAAAAAAAAAAAATATTTGTCTGTGCAGCAGGTAGCAGTGAAACTTCTCTATTTAGCATTGAATGTGGACAGATTATTGACAATTAGCCCAAGGGTGTATTACTTTCTTTAGACTCTCTCTAATGTTAATGTTACATTTTAAAATAGCGTGTCACCTTCATATTGAAATCTCATATAAATAAAAGGATGTGTTTATATTGACAACAAGCATATGGATGCTGTTTTTGGCTTTGTGTTAAGCATATGCAAATTGTGGTACAGTTGTTGCTAAGGATTTCTGAAGATCCCATTTAGTGGGGTAACAAGGGTAGACACTATGCCCATGAATGCAACCTCAATTTGTCTATGTTATATAGAAAGCTATTAGATAAACTCTACCCTGCATTAGAGTATGTCAACATGCTATATATATATATATATATATATATATATATATATATATATATATATATTTATTAATTCCCAAAGTCTAGTCCACATTTTAGATTGCTATACAGTTTCATGAATATATTGTTAGTATTTATAAGTTTTTATTTTGGCTTTTCATGGACTATTATTTTCATCCGTGTTTTTTCTTCCAAACTTTTGATTGGTGTATATTTAATTATGATAGCCAGGTTATATTATGAAAATTATTTACCTTCAGTTTCTTGTCAACTCGTCATCAGCTGACAGGAAGTCAACAGGTAGAACCAAACAGCTGAATTACTTCATATCACCTGATGAAGATTGAATAGGAACTTTATTTATATATATATATATATATATATATATATATATATATATATATATATAATCTAGTGTGTGTGTGTATATATGGATGCTGATATTATCTTAGGCAGTGACCAACACCTTCATCACCTGGTTGTAGATCAGAGAACACCAATCAAAATTCTGAAAATAAAAGCAGCAAAGACTAGGATAATAGCCCAAAGAAAAAAATGAAAACTTATGAATGTTAATTTTTCCCTCCTCTCACAAAAGACGAACCACATTGTTAGTATTATTTGAAAAAAGTCTATATGCGAGGTTAAAAAGTAAATTAAACAGATTCTTTTCCTACTTACATTTTATTTCTCTACATGTGCACCCTTCGTTACCTACCGATCCACCTGTTTGGGAATCTCTCATCGCAATGTTCATCAACAATCTTGGCGTTATGACAGGGAGCTCCATCTTGCTGGGAAAATGTCCTCTTAAACAATTTCGAGGCCTTGAGTTGAGGTATGAAGAAAATTGTCAAGTTTTTGCAAAGGTAACTTTTATTCACAGTCTCTTCCTCAGAAAAATTGAAAAAAGAATAAGGGCCAAACAACATTTAATCAATTTATTTTTTTTTTATTTTTTTTATGAACATTCAGTGTTGGAGATTTTCTGTTCTTGTCCATGTAGATTTTTATGCGTTCCAAAAAAAATACAAGAATTATTCATATCTATGCTTTTGTATAGTGTTAATAGTAAAGAAAAATTAGAACACACACATATATATATATATATATATATATATATATATATATATATATATATATATATATATATATATATATATATATATATATATATATATAATAAACAATGTTTATTATGATACATCAGCCATGATTATGAAACATATCCGTCAATTGTTAAATTTGAATCTTAATGCGCTTCCAGTATATTGTAAGATTTTTTTTTTTAAATTCTTGCACTTTTCAAACTTGTCTACTGTCCTATTCTGCACTTGATTTTCTTTTTTAATCACACAGTTCACATCATGGGAAGAACATCAACTAAATTTTCTTTTTTATGTTATATTTTAAAAATTTAAATCACTTTTAGAGGCTATAACCTATAAGATTTTATTTTTCATATTATCAAAAGAAAAATGGTTAAATTTCAACATGAGTTCTATCTGAAGATTTAAATATAGAAAGAAAATAGTGTCACTGCTTAATTATAGTAAAAGTTGCTTATATTTCAAGAAATCTGATACTTAGAAATTCTTTGAAAAGTTTAAATGCAATTTACAAGAATTTTGTTTCATTAAAACCTTTCCGTATTTTGCTTTTAATATTTATATCAATAAATGTTTACACACTTGTAATTTTTTTCAGAAGTTAAAAAAACAATTATAATTTGCTTCACTTAAATTCCTTCTGTTATTAAGATCTTACTGGTTGGATCACTTTAACATGAAAATCAATTCGAATAGTTGAATTGTAGTTTAAGGTTTCCATCTTAGGAGAAAATTCTGAATAATAAAGATAGATTTCAAAATATAAACTTTCTGTTTTTCTTGTTATGTCCACAAATGCATAAAGAGACTGGCAACCCATAATAGTTTCTTTAGGTAAACTCTTTTTAACTGACTGCTTATTGTTTAGAAATTAAAAAAAAAAAAACAATTTATCTAATAAAAACAAATATAATCAAATATAATTTATGTAGTAAAAATAGTTTACAACTAGAAACATTTGTTTGATTAAATTTATAGGCTACACTTTATACAATTGACATATGTAAAATGCAATGTGGATGTGTGCATATATACATACAAATACAGAGTTTTGTGAAATTCAGCCAAACAAGGATTGTCTGTTTAACAGAATTTAACAAAACTTGTTTGGACAAATTCTTGTCGCCTAAATATACCTTATATATAAAATTTGTATATGCCTTTTTTATATGCATGGGAGTGCTCTATTTTAAATATCTATAAAAGAGCTTTTTTAACACAAAAAATATCTTTTGTCTTATTTATCTGTTTACAGTACTTTTTTGTGTTTTGTGATTTTCAAAATGGGTGACTGTTTTTTTTTAATCGTCTTCCTGAGATTTATTGTCCTTTTCATGTCTTAAATTGAATTCATCAGCATACTGACAGTACAAATTATTCCAAAGAGATATATAAGAAAAAGAAGAATTAATCTTGGAAATGCTGTTAACAGTCACCTATTTTGAAAACTGCTAAGCATAAAGCAGCACTGTAAATGAGTAAATAAAATGTTTTGTGTCTGTGTGTGCATATATATTTCACAGTGCATAGATATTCTGATATTTGCCAAAACTCCAATCTTATCTGATCATTTTTTATGGGTACTATGCCTGTATTTAATGAAGTATAAAAAGTAATTTCATGGATTCTACAGCAGTCAACTAAAATGGCATTTTGATATTCTTCTTTTTTTTTTTTTTTTTATAATTTTTATTTCTGGTATTTCTAGAATAAAGATGAAAAAAAAGTAATGAAACAAAGTGCAAAATGCAATGTCTGCAGTTATTTTAAATTTCAACATAAAATGGAATAAATCTGATGCTTTGTGAAACTGTTATACTGGCTTCTTTACCTGAAAATGGAAGGCTTACAGCCACATGTTGAAACACCAGTTCCTGTTCAATATGCAAAGTTAAGCAGTGTCAAGCCTAGTCAATACCTAGATAGGTGACTACTTGGGAATACCAGATGCTGTAATCTTGGATGTGCAATTAGTGTGATAGATATTGGCTCAGAATTGTTAATCCAAAAGCAGTTCCAATACCCGTTGGATTCATTATATTCACTCACATGCAAACACTCTTTGGAAACATATGAATCAATCTCTTCTCCTCCTCCACCCACTATGGGTTAATTAGTAAGGCTTGTATCACTAAACCATTATTATCTTGCAAAAACATTAAAAAAAAATTGTTACACTCTAAAAATATTTTCTGGCTTTAAATGACCTACAGTGGGTTGATAAGCCATAGAAAATGAATGAATCAATCAATGATGGAAATCTTTTTCCCAATTACTTTCTCACCAATTATCATTTGTCAAAATTTGTGAAAAAAATCATCTATGTTGATTCTGTTTCAAGCAATTTTTAATTCAAAGGTTCTGTTTTGTTCAGGCTAGTTAGGATTGCATTTACCAGAATTTCATTGAAAGTTCACAGTACAGCAAAGAGGAGACAAAAAAGGGAAGCATCTATTATTAATGCTCTCTGGAAAATAACTCAAACTCCTTTGACTGTCTAAAAACAAGCCTATTTTGAGCTGCCATAGTTTAACATCAAATGTATATAACTGAAAATAAGCAGTAAATTTTATTTTATCCATGTCATATTTAAGGGTAACTAATTTTAAATACTAATAAATATTCTGATAAAATATATGTGTATATTTTTTTTTTTTTTAAATTTTAAGTTGATTGTGTGATATTTTTCAGATTGCTTTTTTCTTCTTGAATAATGTAAAATTAGACAAATGTTTTTTGCAGCCTTTATCCTTTGAGATTTTTTTAATTCAATAATAAATCATTGGTTATACGAGTTGATATTAATTAATTTACCATAAATAGGGTTTGTAAGTTTTATTATAAATGTTTGACTGTATATTCTTTGAAAATTTAATGCTGTAAAAGAGTCTTGTCAATTTGTCCATGTTCTAAGCATACAGAATTAGCCAAGTTTCTATAATGGTAAACTGTTTGCTTTTAAAATTTGTTTTCAGCTTCTTTTAACCTCCATAATTTGAAACCACATAAATGAACATTATGATGAACCACTTAACCCTGTGACTTCAGTTTTTAAAAATAGTTAAACTTGTACAACAAATATCAATTATACTTTTTTTTTTAAGGAAAGTAATTGTTTGAACAAAGTCTTTTTTATAAACAGTTGATGGAATAAATTTCATTTTTGTTTTTAATTTTCTGCAGAATGATAATGTCAAAATACTTGGAATAATGGATGTGAATTTTTTTTTTAACAACCTTAAATTTTAATATATGATTTTTTTTTCTTGCATAATTATTTTTATCAAGGACTTTACCATTAATTTTTTTTCTAAACTGCCTATCACACCAAAATGTAATTGTTTATAAATTTTTCCACTGAGAATGTAGATATGCTGCTTCTAAACTGTTGCTTATAACAAGAGATTGAAAGAGAGATGCATGCATATGAATTTTGTAGAGTTTCCTTGACAGTTGTTTCATGATTTATTCAGAAAGGATTCCCTGAAACTGATTGCTTTTGATTTCGCATAAAATTTAGACAAAACAAGCGTTAGTATTTTGCCTGCTGGTAAATCATGTTCTATTTTGCTAGGCACATCTTATGTTTTGTTCTAGTAGTAAAAATAGTAGCCATATTTATGAACTTCAATAACAACATTCTCACCACCTTCTTAAATATCAGTCATCATGGTTTTCTTAATACATCTGTGTTATTGTTAACTATAAATATTAACACTTTTATCTGTTAATAATTCTAGTTGTTAATTTTTGCAAAGACTTATTGAATGTCTCAACTCATTAATATAAAAACACATTGGATCTAAAGAGTAGGGCCTATCGAAGATCTCATGAACTCATCAATATCAAAAATACTAAATAAAATTGTGCCAAATTTGTATCAAAAGGGGTCAATATTTGAGATTAGTTCAGTTGACACATATAATGTGAGTCCAAAAAAGTAAAAAAGCTTTTAGATTAAATCTCAACTTGTTCATTTTGATGAAAATGGGCTGATTTTAACACTTTGACAATCAAATTCTTTATCTATTTTTGTGATTCAGTTTGGACTTAGAGTTAAGAGAAGACTTTCTCAATTCCCATAATTTTTCAATGACTTATTGGAATATTTACATTTTTCAGTGATCCTGAATTTCTCTTTATACTTTATCAATTTATGAATATGTACACTGCTTGAATGGGCAACTGGCTTACTTAATTCATCTTGATAAAGGGAAATAATCATGTCTGTTTTAACCAACAATCAGTTGTAGACATTAAACAATTGTTTAAAAAAATTGTAAATTTATTCAGATTTAACCTAGACAAAAACTAACAATCGACAGGAAATGAGAACAGGGCTTAATAAATAATTAGGATTTGAAACTAGTTGCATTTAAAATATTATAGGAATGAGATATATATATATATATATATATAGGCTGATTATAACTTATTTGGAACATTATTTTATATTGATATCGTTACTGTTTATATTGATTTGAAATTAGTGATTTTCTCACTTAATTACCAATGAAGGCAAATACCACTTAGCTATCAGTGACTCATGTTTTTCTCTTCTTTGTCGAGTCTTTCTACTCCTTTCAAAGATTATCAATCTTCTAAGATTTCATATCAATGTTGTAATCTTTGAGCTGTTGAGTATTTATTAGATTCTAGTATCAGAAAGCCTGTTAAAATGTCTTATAAAATGGAAAAGAACTTTGGGATTTTCTGTATTTCTATTTAGCTCAAAAATGCTTTGATTAGTCAATTTTCAT